ATATGAAGGACACAACATTAGGTAATAATGAATAATAATAATTATTAGGTAGTAATGAATACAGTTTTTTTTTTTGCTGTGAGTTCCATATAGCCGGTTGATTCTCACAGAATGCTTTAATTGATTTTTGCAGAACTCTTGTATCCCCAGCTAACCTGTGGTTATAAAGGATGAATGAGTCTAGCTCTGACATGAATGCTAGTCAATATTTTTGCCTAAATTAATGAATAAGGCAAAAGTGAAACAACAAAGGTACACGTTAGAACCTCATTTGTTTGTCATGTGAGATGACTTCTTTATTGAATCAGATAATAGTTCTTGAATCCTGGAAGAATATCTCCCTCAGTCTTTTTCCTCTTTACTTACTAGGCAACAGCTGCAGACACAACACTTTTAAATTTCACTTGTTATCAGTTGTTTTTGACAGGTGAGAGATTTTGCTCCTCAGGGGATGTTTGGCAATGTCCAGAGACATTTTTGCTTGTCATAACTATAGATGGAGGGTGTTATTGGCATCTAATAGATAAATAGATGCCAAACATCTCTCTCCCCCAAAAGAATTATCTGCTCCAAAGTTGAGAAACCCTGATTTGTATTAGTAACATTTTCTCCATAACTCTTTAAAGTTTAGACAATCAACAAAATCATAAATCAAGTCCAGATTTGTAGCGGTTGCCAATTTCGGTGGTGTAAATATTCCCACTGTGGCTGATTGAATCTACCAATATGACATTTCACAAGTGTGGAGTTGTTGAAAAATGTGCGGTAGCACGTCACGTGGAGTTTCCACCACAAAGAGGCAATAGTTATAACTAACTGCAAGAGTATAAATTATAGTAAAATGTCGTAATATGATTGTATGTAATAGGTTCTGTGTATTTATTACCTGTGTTTATAAAGTACTTGTGTAAATAAACATTTAACTTTTAATAATGGCGTGCTTAACAGCTGACTCATAAAATTCTTAAAGATTTAGCAGTTTGCTCTTGCAGGTCAATAAAGACTGGTCTGGCTCCAGCTTGCTACTGAAATGGCTATCCACCACTTGAATTCACATTTATATTTCCTGCATCTTAGAAAGATCGACCTGGGGTGCCTGGGTGGCTCAGTCGTTGGGCATCTGCCTTCGGCTCGGGTCATGATCCCGGGGTCCTGGGATCGAGCCCCACATAGGGCTCCTTGCTCAGCAGGAAGCCTGCTTCTCCCTCTCCTGCTCCCCCTGCTTGTGTTCCCTCTTTCGCTGTGTCTGTCTCTGTCAAATAAATAAATAAAATCTTAAAAAAAAAAAAGGAAGATCAACCCAATTCCAACGCCAGTTTTCTAGGGAATGGTCTCTGGTTGGCCCAGATTGGGTCAGGTACCTGTCCGTGGTATAGCCACACAAAGCAGGTATGTCCATGTGGCTGAATCCAAAGGCAGCCTATCCCCTCCCATTAGGAAATTTCTGGAAGCATCACCGTGCGTGGGAGGGCACCCTTGGAGGAGTCCATGACTGTTACAGATACACAGGCACTTGCTTCCTCCTCCACTCCTGTTTATCAAGACTCCATGCAGACTGAGTTTCTGACTCATCCACTTTTTCCTCCCCAGAGAGATTTCAAAATAATGTATTAGATCAGTGGTTCTCAAAGTGTGCTCCCTGGATCAACAGCAGCTGCTTCATTTGGGAGCTTGTTCAAAAAGCAAATTATTGGGCATGACTCCAGACCTCCTGACTGAGCTGTTCTGGGGATGGGGACCAGTAGTCTGGGTTTCAAAAGGTCCTCCAGGTTATTCTAAGGCAAACTGAAGAATGAGGGCCACTGTACTAAATTATCTAGCTTTAAAAAAGTTACATTCTATTCTTTAGGACAGCAACAAAACAAACCCAGGTCATCCTGATTAAATTTGGTATTTCTTCCAGTCTTCAGAAATGACAATCTCCCTTTGGATGAATTACTTGAGCAGAACAATAATCTCATCAATCTTATATTGATTTTTACTCTTTCTTCTTTTAGAAAATGACTGGTCTTTTATTTCTGTGAATACTTTATTATAACCTCACCTATGCTATTAAATCATGTTTGTCTTACATAAGTTAACTTTTCAGGATCTATTTCTTGATTCCCAAGGTAGCTGGTAATATCCCCAAGAGTAGGGGTGACATTTTGTATTTGGTTTAGGCCACAGAAACGAAAGTAGTATAGAGCTCACAGAAGACACCTAAATATTGGTTGAATAATTATGAAGATTTACACAAATATTTATTGTCAATCCCTTGCTTTCTTTTATTGGCATTATTTAAGGTTTATCACATAATTTCTAAAGTAGTTACCCTGGAAAACTTTATAAAGAATTTCAATAATTAAAACAGAAAATGACTGCTCTCTGGATATTTTCTCCAAATTATGGGACTTGTATCAAGTTATGCTGTGGAGAAGAAAAGAATCACCAGTGGTTACTATTGACAGATAACAAGCCGATATTTTGATGTGTTTCCTTGCAATAATTTTTTTCTAAGTCTATATGCTTTTCTAATCAAAAAGTGACCATATACTAGATTTCTAGTTTCATTAGTTTACTTTTTCATTAAGCACTGTATCATGAGCATTCTCACATAATTGAATATTTTCTGAAACATGGTTTTTAATGTTCTAGATTATTCTGTTCTATGTATGAACTGTAAGTTATTTAACCATTATCCCATTTAGGATATTTGGGTTGCTAACAATATTTCACTTTTTAAATAACTACTGTGATGGAATGGGATGCAGTTTTTTTTTTTTAAGGTTTTGTTTATTTGTTTGTTTATTTAGAGTGCATGAGCAGGGGGAGGGGCAGAGGGAGAAGGAGAAAGAATCTGAAGCCGACTTCCAGCTGAGTCTGGAGGGGGGGGTCGGGCCTTAATCTAATGACGCTGAGATCTTGCCCAGAGCCGAAATCAAGAGCTGGATGTTCCACTGACTGAGCCACCCGGTGGCTCCAGGATGCATAGTTTGAAAATGAACACATTCTCCCTTAGAGTTAGGATGGGTTGGTTCTCTCCTGGTCGTCTTTTTTCCCTTCTGTATTGAAAAGATTACTCATCACTTTGCTTGTTCAAGTACACATCTTTCTTCCATCTCAAGCCTTTGTCAAGATTTAATGCACATGTTTCCATAAACACCGAAATCAGTGAGAGTCTGAAATTTAAAAGGAGCCTGTTTTTGGTAGCTAGTTGTTTCTCTGGTTTGCACTTACTGTCTCCCATTGGCCACTTGTTCCTTTGTTGGAAACTTCCATTATTGTACTATCATCCCTGTCAGTCCTTCATTCAGGGTTTTTTTGTTTTTTTTGTTTTAAGATTTTATTTATTTATTTGAGAGAGAACATGAGAGGGGTAAGGGTCAGAGGAGGAGCAGACTCCCCGCTTAGCAGGGAGCCAATGTGGGACTCGATCCTGGGACTCCAGGATCATGACCTGAGCCGAAGGCAGTCGCTTAACCAACTGAGCCACCCAGGCACCCCTCGTTCGTGTTTCTGTGTAATAATCTCTTAACCCTAAAACAGGCAAATGCTAATAAATTCTTTGCTTAGGGAATTATAAATGACTCGGGACATCAATAGCCATATAAGAGTGTTGCCATGTTTATTAATTCAAGGACCTTTTCTTTGTAAAATATTTTAAGCTTTCCAAAGCCCAAAAATTAGCACAGCATCTTAGGTCAGAGAATGAGTTAACTTCCTATGTTGATTTATTTCTGGTAAAAGTCAGCTATCTTTTGGATGAAATGTAACCAACACACACACACACACACACACACACACACACACACACGTACAAAACTTTGTAAATTGATCGAACAGTTCTCTACTGTCTTTTATTTTGATAAATCATCTTACTCAGTATCAGTCGACTGAACTGAATGATATTTCTTTCCTTTTTGAGTGGGAAAAACTAACCTGTCAAATATTCTTCAGTTACGATTTATCTGGAATTTCAAAAACATCTTCAATGGCATAGAACCAAAGATAAATGCTTTGTAAACAGTTCTTAGGGTCTTTTTAAAATTAAAATCTTAGACATAATTTTTCTCCACGATTTAATTTTTCATCTTGGGTTGGACTTAGACACACACACACACACACACACACACACACACACACTCTTTCTGATTACATCTCCAATCATGTCACTGAAAATCTTGATTGCTGAACAAATGACCATAACAATTATCTCAGTTAGCTTGGGGTAAGTGTTCAGTTATCACCAAGATTTGTAAGCAGTTTAGAACTGGGAAATGAGAGACATTTACTTTTGAAGCCACTTAAATGGATGTAGTTGCTTAACATTACAGGAAATTTAACGGGGTGGCAATGAACACTGCCCCTTTATTCTGTACTAAGGAACTAATAGTATTGCTCAGGGTTTTCCCACTTTATTTTTTTCAAGAACTGTTTTTTTTTGTTTTTTAAGATTTTATTTATCTGACAAAGAGAGAGACAGTGAGAGAGGGAACACAAGCAGGGGGAGTGGGAGAGGGAGAAGCAGGCTTCCCATGGAGCAGGGAGCCCGATGTGGGCCTCGATCTCATGATCCTGGGATCATGACCTGAGCTGAAGGCAAATGCTTCTCGACTGAGCTACCCGGGTGCCCCAAGGGTTTTCCCACTTTAGTGCATTCATTTTGGCAGGCAGGTAACTTAAGGAACTCTGGTGTGAACTGGTTTAATGAGTGAGGATCTGGCCCTAATTAATATAACTGAAGTGTTCTATGAGGAGGCTTTTGCTTCTGAACTAGCAAATACAAGGAGGTGTAATAACTTCTCTTTAAAAATATGGCATGTCGACCTCCACAGTCTTCAAGAAGACTCCTGTTTCAGCCTTCTTTTCCATTGTTATCTCCCCTAGCATAAACGACAGGCGCGCTGCCGGAGGGCGCCGCCAGGGGGCGCAAGTCTACAGCGGCTTCGTCAACAATAGGGGCCCTGGAGCACTCCCTCCCCTCCTCTCGCTTGCTTCAGCTTCCGCCGGAAGCGGTTATTGTCAGTCGTTGTCAGGTATTTGAGCTTGTTTGTGGTGGGCTCGCGTGCCTGACTGGGTGAGGCTTGGTTCCGGGACCCCGAGAGGGAAGCTCGAGCGTAAACCCGGGCAGCGGGATGGACGTTCTGAAATCGGAGATCCTCCGGAAGCGGCAGCTGGTGGAGGACAGGAACCTGTTGGTGGTGAGGATCCTTGGGGGTCGTGGGGCTTTGGCGGTCGAAGACGTGGGTGGGTGGGTGGCGCTGGGAGTGAGAGGAGGGGTGAAGGGGTTTGGGCAGAGATGAGGCTTGGTGGGAGCTCCGCAGCTACCCGGAGCGGCCCCCCTAGACCCACCCTTTGACACCTCCCTCGGGAGTCTTAGGGAGGTGGGGAATTTCAGCAAACCCCAAGATTTTGGCAAATTTCTCCCCAGCTGCCCCTTTTCCCTCGAAGTTTCCCCTTCTGCCCCTTACACCCACTTCCATCTGTCCGTATTCTGCGAACGTGCCCCTGTTCTGGTGGTTCACGTCTGCCGTTTTACTAAGGGTTTGTGCCCGGCTGAAAGGAGAGTAAGGGCAGGCCCAGAATTATTTAAAATTTGTAACTCCGTCCTACTGTTGAAACCTGAGTTTTTATTACATCCCCCCAACACATAACAGAAGTCTCTTGGCCAGCCCTTCGCTTGATAGGACGGCTAAAACTGTTGTAGACAAACAGTGGAGAAAAAGGAGAATTGCATGATTTAGAAACTTCCTTAACTAGATGTTCATGACTTTGTTGCTAACAATAACTGAGACCAGGGGTTCTCAAAGCCTTGGGCCTCCGGAGCCCTTTACACTTTTCCAAACTGAGGATCACAAAGGGCTTTTGTTTATGTATTTATCGATATTTACCGCATTAGAAGTTAAAGCTGAGAAGTTTTTCTTATTGAAGTTTAGTTGACATAGAAAATTGTATTAGTTGCAGGTGTATAACATAGTGATCGACAATTACAAACATTAGGAAATGCTGACCATGGTGTAGTTTAACATCTGCCACCCACAAAGGTATTAAAATGTTACTGAGGGTATTCTCAATGCTGCACTTTTAATCCCGTGACTTAATTTTATAACGGTAAGTTTGTATCTTTTAGTCCCCTTTACCTGTTTTGCTTGAGCCCCACCCCCATCACCATTTGTCTGTATTTGTTTCGGTTTTTTTCTTTTTGATTCCATATGTAAGTGAGATCATATGGTATTTCTTTCTCTGACTTAGAGTAATACCCTCTAGCTCCATCTGCATTGTCCCAAATGGCAAGATTTCATTTTTTATATGCAACTATATAATTTTATATAGACTCGACGATTTATAGTCTTTATCTTTCTGCTTCGAAGCATCCAACAGTAGTTTTCAAATTTTTTACTGCCCCAGTCACTTTAAGAAATTTTTATATTTTGCTCTGATATGTATATGGAAAAAGTTTCATGAAACAGTTCTTAACTACATGTGATTGTCATGTTTTAATCAGTTGTTTGATTTAAAAATGCTGGTTGGGAATCACTGAATTGTTTTCATTACCTTATCTGTAGCTGGAAAACACCTGTCTATGTTACGTTGTTCTGGAAGAGCTGCCTCAACTTGGTCATTTCAAATGATGTCGCAGCTTTTTATTGTTAGTTCGAGAGTTGAAATAGTAAGTACTTACTGTGAGTGCCTCTTTGTTAAATTGGAGAAGCTCTTAAAATAGCCTCCTGTCACCTGTCCTAAATGATCTGCCTGGTGTAACTACTCAGAGGTAAGTGTATTCTCTGCGATGCTCTCATTCCAGTGCTTTGGGGCCTTGGTGTTGGTGAATCTTGAGTTAACACAGAGCATCATTATGTGGAAAACCCAGGGGGCTTAAGAAACAGCGGAGCATAATTAGCAGTTTTCGTTGTCATTATGAGAATGGGCTTTGCGTAGAATTCTAGCTTTTTCTCCCCGGTATTTATTGAATGTTTTCTATATATGTTACTCTGTGCCGCAGAGGATTAAAAAAAAGTCATGTTTGATCCTTTAAGGAATATGCATTCTGTTTCACAGAAAATAGAGAAGCCAACATGCAAGATATTCCTTGCTTTTTCTCCCATTAAAACAGGATGAGGTATCAGTTAAAGCTTGGGTCAAGCCTTCCACCTGCACGCTGGATCCCAGCTCATCCTAGCACCACCAGGAACCTGAATGTCACGTATCTCATTTCTTCCTGTGCCTTCAGTTTACTGGTCTACCCCCATCAACCCTGAAACATACTGATGTCTCTTCCATCTTTAACAAGGTGTTGTTTTTTATAACTAGGCTTCTTAAAATAAGTTTTAACCCCTACACACTCCTTAACATGATGCACAAAGGTTCCTGCCCCACAGCGGTACTGAATTGGTTCTAATTAGGGACAGCAGTGACCTCCATGTTTTCTAGCTGACCTCAGCAGCATTTGACACTCTTGACCAGTCTTATTTCTACATGTACCCCTTCACCTATCCTCCTTTATGATAGTACTAAAAGAATTTTGGACTTAAAAAGGTCAAGAGTTAGTAATTTCTGTGCCGGTGAAAATCTGTGCCCATTACACCCCAGCACCAGAGTTCTGGCTCTTTTGAACCTTTTTTCATTTTTTCAGTTATTTGAACTTGCCTTTCTTACTCATCCTTTTCTTTATAATAGTCTTATATAATTTTTTTTTTTTTTTTTTTTTTTTATTTATGTATTTGACAGAGACACAGTGAGAGAGAGAACACAAGCAGGGGGAGTGGGAGAGGGAGAAGCAGGCTTCCCGTGGAGCAGGAATCCTAATGGGGCTCGATCCTAGGACCCTGAGATCATGACCTGAGCCGAAGGCAGACGCTTAACAACTGAGCCACCCAGGCGCCCCAGTAGTCTTCTATAATTTTCTTCAGCTCCTTACTTCATGGTCAGTGAGGGAGCTTTAGAAGGCCCCTTCTCCCTCTCCCACCCCCCCCCCGTGTAGGCAAAAAACAGTGTGGTAGGGACTTTACTGTCCTGTTGATGGCGTATTTTGACATCTGCAGAGTAGATTTTTTCTTCATTTTACTGTAAAAATTTTCAGTTGTGCAGAAAACTTAAAATTGTACAGTTAGAGGGGTGCCTGGATGGCTCAGTTAAACATCTGCCTTAGGCTCAGGTCATGACCTCGGGGTCTTGGGATCGAGCTGTGGGTAAGGTTCCCTGCTTGGCAGAGAATCTGCTTCTCCCTCTCCCTTTGCCCCTCCCTACCACTTGTGACTTCTCTTTCTCTCTCAAATCTTAAAAACTTTAAAAAATTGTACAGTTTGAAATTCACATGCCACAACCTAGATTCTGTAGTTAAACCTGCATTAACATTTTGCTCTATTTGCTTTATCATGTACCTGTCCAGAAACTACTTCAGAGTAGTTATAGCAGTCAGAACTTTTTAGGATCGGTGATAGGCTATCTTAGTAGCTTCTCCACAGTTTGAGGAAGGGGGGACTCACAAGGTTAAGTATTTCAACTCTCACAGCTTAACAATAAAAAGCTGGAACACCACTTGAAATGACCAAAGATGAGGGAGGGAGCTCTTTGGGAACCATACAGACAGGTGTTACTCAGCTGCAGATGGGGTAATGAAAACAATTTAATGATCTTAATATATTTCAAGTTAAGTTACAGACATTGGTACACTTTACCCCTAAACAATTTGGTGTGCATATCATTAATGATCGTTCAGTGTTTGTTTATACGTATTTTTATGTGTATACACAAATTTATATATTAAGAAATACATCAGTGAATTTTGACAAATGCATATGCCTATATGCCTGTGTAATCCCATCTGTATCAAAATACAGAATATTACCTCATTCCATCTTCCAGTCATTCCCTTTGCCTCCCACCCTCAGAAGCCACCACTGTTCAGATTTCTTTGCACCAGTGGTTGGTTTTGCCTGCTCTAAAACTTCACAGGAGTGGAATCATCAGACTGTGCTGGTACGTCAGACTGTGCTCTCCTGTGTTCCACTATGTTTCATCATAATGGTTTGAGTTTTATTCATGTTGGATAGATGAGTTGTTCCTTTTTTTTTTTTGCAGAGTAGTAGTCCATTGTATAAATAGAGCCGGTTTGTGAATCCATTCTTCTGATGTTGGGCTCTTGCCAGGATTTGGCTCTGAAGATGAAAGCTGCTGTGGAACTTGCTTTATAAGTCTGATGTTTGCATTTCTCTGAGGAAAATGCCGGGGAGTGGAATTGCTAGGTCATAGAGTACATATATGTTTTTATAAAAAGCCACCAGACGTTTTTCCAGTGTGCATGGACCACATTACACATCTACCAGCAAGGAGGGTTCAGAGGTCCTCCAGTCTTTTTAAAGACTTAAAAACTTCATATTTCAGCAAGATGTTGACCCTGCTACATCATTGGTGAACTCATGTATAGTGTCTTTTTTTTTTTTTTTTTTAAAGAGAATGCATGCGAGAGAGGGTCTGAGCAGGGGAGGGGCAGATGGAGAGGATCTTAAGCAGGCTCAGCTCGAAGCCCCACGTGGGGCTTGATCACAGGACCCTGAGATCTTGGCCTGAACCACAATCAAGAGTCGGATGCTTGGGGTGCCTGGGTGGCCCAATTGTTAAGCCTCTGCCTTCAGCTCAGGTCATGATCCCAGGGTCCTGGGATCAAGCCCTGCATTGGGCTCCCTGCTCCGCGGGAAGCCCCTTCTCCCTCTCCCACTCCCCCTGCTTGTGTTCCCTCTCTCGCTGTGTGTCTCTGTCAAAAAAAATAAATAAAATCTTAAAAAAAAAAAAAATTGGCTGCTTAACTGACTGAGCCACCCAGGCGTTCCTATAGTGGCTTGGTTTGCATATTCAGGCTGTATATTTGTTGGTTTTCCGGTGTGTTTTTGTAGAGCTCTTGATGATGTTTGTATCTGATATATATAAACACTAAAAACCTTAACATGATTGAGGAAGGCTGATTTTAAATTAATGAAATGTTGACAGTCATGATTAAATGTTTTAAATTTTAATTTTCCTTTATTGGTGTAGGCAGACATTTCAGGTGATATGGTAGATAGGTTTCTGTACTTCGGACCTATGAATCTCAGTTTTATAATCTAGAAAGCACAACTTGGATAGAGTCTGAGAATAACATTTGTGAAGCAGCATGTAGGAATTAGGTTCTGTCTTAAAAAGGAGAAGCACTTTTATATATACCCTTTTCACATTGTTTTTAAAATCTGTCAGGGTGAGGCGCCTGGGTGGCTCAGTTGGTTGAGCGACTGCCTTCGGCTCAGGTCATGATCTCAGGGTCCTGGGATCGAGCCCCACATCAGGCTCCCTGCTCCGTGGGAAGCCTGCTTCTCCCTCTCCCCCTGCTTGTGTTCCCTCTCTCGCTGTCTCTCTCTGTCAAATAAATAAATAAAATCTTTAAAAAAAAAATACAATCTGTCAGGGTGACAGGGCCAATAGAAATGTTAGGTGCTTTAGGAGAGAATCCAAAGAAATTTAAACCATCCGTTCATATGCTATCTTAAAATGTATACCAGCCACTTTTAGATTTCTGTGTTTGTAGGTCTTTATTATGCATTCTGTAGTTAATGCAACAAACTTTGAATATTTTGAATATAGTTAGAAAGGAAATTTGTAAAATGAATAAACAAGTCATAAAATCTAATTGTGGCTGCATCCCTAGATAGCTCTGTAACTTTGGGCAAGTTATCTAACCTGCTTGAGTTACTTTTAAAGGTGCTGTTTTGCTGATATTTAAGTTTTAATACTCTACAATTTTAATTCTATCATAAATGTGTCCCCAGCACTTTATATTTCAAAGTGTATTTTCAGCGTACTTTGTAAAATAACGTTTTACAGTTAGAGAACCTTTAGTTGCTCTTTCAAACTGTTCTTTTTTTCTAAATGGAAGGTATATAAAGAGTGACATATGAAACATGGGTAACCTTTTGTTTTAGACATCCTTTGTTGTCATAAAATGGTCACTTAGTGTAAAGCAAAATATTTTTATCTTTCTAATTCCAAAATGAAAAGCGAATTTTATTGTTAATAATTCATTCAGGGGCAGCTGGGTGGCTCATTTGGTTAAACATCTGCCTCAGCTCAGGTCATGATCTCAGGGTCCTAGGATCCAGCCCTGCATTGGGCTCCCTGCTCAGCAGGGAGATCTTGAGATCTGGAATGCCCCTGGAAGGGATTGGCCTTAGGCAGGAGGAGGGTTTCCTTTTCCATTCCGAAATGAAGAAAGAATTGGTGCAGAGCCAGTAAGGATTGGTACCGGGAGGACTTCTCTTTCAGTGGCTTTCCTTTTCTCTGTAACAGAGTGGCTTAGTCATTTGCTGAGAACGGGGGGAAATGAAGGGATAAGTGGTCTAAGAGCGTGGAGACCGCGTACTGGTCATTGTAGAGAATAGGAGGGCAAGCTAAATGGATACATACACCAGGATCGGCGGGCAGCATTGAGGCTCAAGTGGTTTCAGTATTGCTTGGCACACTGGGTAAAGGCATGGGGAGGGCCAACGAGGGGATTCTACTAGGACCTTGGTTCTCACTTCGTGATTTCAGAACCCCTTTACATGTATAACTGATGGCTCCAGAGAGCTTTTGTTTATATAGGATGTATTTATTGATAATTACTCAATCAGAAAATAAAACTGGGAAATTTAGGGGCGCCTGGGTGGCTCAGTCAGTTAAGCATCTGACTCTTGATTTTGGCTCAGGTCAGGATCTCAGGGTATTGAGATCGAGCCCTGTGTCAGGCTCTGTGCTGGACGTGGAGCCTGCTTGAGATTCTTTTTCTCTCTCTGCCCTCCCCCACCCGCCTTACTGGCACATGCGTGCACTCTGTCTCTCAAAAAAATAATAATTAAAAAATTAAAACTGGGAAATTTAAAAATACTTATATTCCATGTTGACTTCTATTTCATACTATAATAAACCTGTGTGTGTTAACATAATGCTTTTATGAAAACTATTTTCCAAGACGAAATTAGCAAGAAGAATGACGGTTTACAATTTTGCAAATCTTTTTAATTCCTTTCATGTTAGAAGACAGTTGGATTCTCCTATTGATCCATTTAACCTGTTGCGATACATTGTTTTTGTTCAAGTATATGAGGAAACCTCATCTTAATACAGCTAGGTAGTTGGAAAAGGTAGTATTTTAATAGCCTTTTCAGATAACTGTGGATATCCTTCTTTGATACTATATTAAAACTACACAATGGTAAATTTTTTAAAGATGAGAGTATGGATTCTGACCGTTATCAATTAACTTTTTTTTTTTTAAGATTTTATTTTTAAGTAATCTCTATACCCAGTGTGGGGCTCGAACTTAAAACCCCTTGATCAAGAGTCACATTCTCCGCTGGCTGAACCAGCCAGGTGCCCCATCAGTGAACTTTTTGTATATTACAATCTATTGATCTATTATGCTCCAGATCTGTTCTGATCTATTCTCATAAATCTTTTGCTGATGCATAATTTTGGAATTGTTTCCTTTGTACTGTTATAGTTTGCTGAGTTACATAGATCTTTTACATGGTGATATGTTTCATTAGATGATATAAAAAATGGCATTCATTAATATCACCACTGATTCATCAGAAAAGTTTTTAAGTATGGGGAAGCCATCAAGTTCATAGTGATGGTTGCAAGTTTGCCACCATCTGATTTTTGCTTGAAAGATGGAATTTTATCATAGGCAACAAATAGTATCATTGTCCTTTTAGTAACAGGCTTGCTTTGTTCAGTTTTGAGAAAACGTCTGCCAAACAGGAGAGAACTGTCCTACTCTATTATGGAGCAAAACTGCTTTATATGTTTGATTTCATCATACCAAATATTAAAAGACAAAGAATACAATGAACTCTGAGACATAAAGATCAGTACTTACCTTTATTTGTGCTGAGGTTCCAATGGGTTTCCTCACCACCGCTTTTGTACCATCAGTGCAAGTGTGATTGCAGGGAAAAGGGGGGTGCATAACCTCTCAGTATTATAATGATAATACGTCTGACCTTGCAGAAACTCTGAAAAGGTCTTAGGGACCCCCCCAGACGTCCATGAGCCACATTTTGAGAATCAGTGTTCTGGGCTAAGATTTTCTTAGGTGTATTCCATGGAATTGGGGCATGCCAGTAAAGATGCTACCACAGACTGCACCACAGACTCTGGCCTGGAGAGTCCTTTACTTTTTTCCTACCTCTCCGCTCTTTCTGAGAGGATACCAGTATGTGCTTATCAGCTTATTTATATGAAATGGGACAGCTAGGGGCTCCTGGGTGACTCAGTCAGTTAAGCGTCTGCCTTCGGCTCAGGTCAGGATCTGGGGTCCTGGCTCTGCGGGAGTCTGCTTCTCCCTCCTTCTCTGCCCCTCCTCCCACTTGTGCTTCTCTCTGTCTCACTCTCTCTGTCTCTAAAATAAAAAAATAAGCTTTAAAAAAAAATACAACAGCTACATCCTGTGTAGTCAAAAGAAACAGCTGATGCTGGGATAAGATATTGGGAGTGAAGGACGGCAGCTTGCAATACTGGATCAGTTCAAAGGATTTAAGGACCAGAGTTCTAGTTATGCGTATTACTCATGAGGCTCAGTAAGTTGTGAAAATGTCCCCTGCCCTTTCTCTCAGGTCTCTCATGTCTAAACTGGGGTTAATATCATTGCTTTCTCAGGTAGTATTGCCGTTGGAATGATGCCATCAGTTCCTTATTCCAGACAATACCTTCAACTTTACATCTGTAAAGCTGTGCTTAGTGTGTGGTAGATGAATTAGTGAATGAATGTTCATTGAATAGACTAAAACAAAACTGTTTATCATGAGAAATTTAAACATATACAAAAAGAATTACATAATGAACCTCTGTCTAAACTCTTGTAACTCTAGAAAATAAGAACATGTTCTTTAATAAACAAGATGTGATCCTACCCAACAAAATTAGTTAGGTCCTTAATATCATTAAATACTCCTCTCATGTTCCAATGTCTGCAATTGAATTAAAATATATACATACATGTTTTTACAGTTTGTTCAAATCCGATCCACTCAGTCCAATCATTGCATTTGTTTACTATGACTCTTGGTTTCTTTTGATCAAGAACATTTTCATTCACCCCCCCTCTTTTTTTTTTTTTAAGATTATTTATTTATTTGACAGAGAGAGAGAAGCACTAGTAGGCAGAGAGGCAGGCAGAGGGAGAAGCAGGCTCTCCACTGAGCAGGGAGCCCAATGCGGGACTCGATCCCAGGACCCTGGGATCCTGGCCTGAGCCGAAGGCTGCCGCTTAACTGACTGAGCCACCCAGGTGCACCCCCCGCCCTTTTATGCCATTAACTTGTTGGAGAAACTTGCTAGTTTGGTAAATGTCCCAGTGTTTGCTTCCCAGCAATGGTGTTTAGCTTATTTCCCTATTCCCTAGATTTCTAATAAACTAGAGATGAGACCTACCATCAACAGATGAATGGATAAAATGTGTGTATATATGTACACACTCACACACACACACACACTGGAATATTACTCAGTCATCAAAAAGAAAAATCTTGTCATTTGCGGTGACATGGATGGAACTAGAGGGTATTATGCTAAGTGAAATAAGTCAGAGAAAGACAAATACCATACGATTTCACTCATGTGGAATTTAAGAAACAAAACAGATGAACATGGGGGAAGGGAAAGAAAAATAAAAACAAGAGAGGGGGGATGGGTTAGCCTGGTGATGGGTGTTAAAGAGGGCACATTCTGCGTGGAGCACTGGGTGTTATGCACAAACAATGAATCATGGAACACTACATCAAAAACTAATGATGTATGGTGATTAACATAACAATAAAAAAATTAAAAAGAGAGAGGCAAACCATAGGAGACTCTTAGCTTATAGAGAGCAAACTGAGGGTTGCTGGAGGGGAGGTGAGTGGGGGCACTTGATCTAATGAGCACTAGGTGTTATATGGAACTCAGAAATCACTGAATTCTACCCCTGAAACTAATAATACACTATATGTTAACTAAATTGAATTTAAAATGAGACTTAAATGTGTGATTAGATGGACATGCGGTTTTTGGGCAAGAATACTTTGTAGATGCTATGTGTATCACATAGGGGACATGTAATGTTTTCCTGATACCAGGCTTGACCGGTGCCTTCAAGTGTGGCAGCCTGAGCTGTCCAGTGTTCACCATCAACCCTTCTTGTCATGAACTTAGCATCCATGATTATTGCCAGAGTGAATGAGCTTGGGTACTGTGAGTTGCTAAATACATGTGTGGAGGTATTTCTTAGGTACTATTACAGTTACTACTAATAAACTAGGGCAGTAGCTTTATTTGAGCTAAATCATTAGTGGAATAATATCCAAGAGGGATAGCAGTAGATGGTAACAATGTCCAAATTAGGGACTATAGGTTTAACAATGAGAATAATGTATGTAGTAGAGAATTACTGTTTTTTTCTCCTACAGATTTAAAGCTTGTCTCATAACATTGAATCTTATAAAACAAATAGCTTTAAACGATTTTAATACTTCCAAACGATTTCATGTCGAGATTCAGAATTAATACAATTTTAAGACTTGATTAATACAAATACAATTAACTGATAAAAAAGATTCCAAGTGACAAGAATTTGGACACACCCTTGGAGCTCTCTGGGTAATGGGAGTTAAGATGTCAGATATAGTTAACCCTAAATTTTGTTCAGTTTCTGTTGGGAGAAAATAAAGCATCCTATTTTATGTGGTTCGTAATGAATTCATTTGTCGAAATTATCATTGAAACCAAACACTGGGAAATCAAATCAAAACAATGTGAACATTTGGAAAATATTGTTGGTTTCTTCTCTTTGCTGTTGGATATGCCTGTTAAACTGATGCTGTAAGAAAAATACTTCGTATTTAGAGCAGGGTAGAGAACAGGTGCCATGTTCAAGAAATCACTATAATCTCTATAGAATCAAACTTGACCATGCTCTTGAAAAACTGAAGAATGTTTTTAGGTTGACTATGGAACATGAAATTTTACCCAGGGACCTATTAATGTACTTCTTTCTTCAATAGGAAAATAAAAAGTATTTCAAGCGTAGTGAACTTGCAAAAAAAGAAGAGGAAGCATATTTTGAAAGATGTGGCTACAAGGTATGACTGCCTGCTTTTATGTTATTGTATATTTCTGAGTTTAAATTTTTATAGCTGTTAAAGTGACAAAATTATTGATCTCTGTTCACTTTATCAATGTTATACATTAGCCAATAAATGAGAAGCCATCTGGAGAGGTATGAGCTTTTTTCTTTTCTTTTCTTCTTTTTTAATCTTGAATTCAGGAAAATGGAAATTACATGCATGACTTTTGGCTTGGAATGGTTTGGCTTTTTGTGGACAGCATGAAGTGGCTTGAGACCAAAGCTTGAATTTTTTTTTTTCTTTTAATTCCTGGATCTGATACTGCCTCATCTTCATCTCCACCACCACTCCTTTTCCCCACCTCTCCCAATTAAAGTCTATTTTAAAGGGTTTCAAAACATTTCATTCAATCACAGTGGTATTACCAGTGGTATTTTCCCCACTTTCACTTGAATATTTTAAGCCATTGTTTTTTGTTTGCATTGTTAATAATTCCTTTTGGCCCTGAGTACCTCTGCCTGAGATAGAATGCCATACAACATTTATATGCTTTTGTGTAATAAGGTACCACATTTCAAACACTGCTTGTCTATTGTATAGAAAATATGTAGAAATATTTGTTAGAAACAAATGAGTTGTCTGGAAGACTGTATATTTTTGAAGCATGACTAAAAGTATCAAGGTTACCCTATTATTCTGTTCAGCTGTTATCCTAGTTGAATAATATTTTGGGGTTTTTATTGGGAGGGGTTAAATATTATGAGGTGAAATTCTGTTTAAATTACTTTAAAAGAAGACAGTAGTTTGATAATTTTTTAAACAAAATTTAGAGGTTCTGTTGAAATATTTTTGCCAGATCCTAAATTTGACATCAACTTTTTGCTTGTGAAATGTGTATAATATATTCTTGTGCATGTGATGGGGAAAGTTCTAGAAATTAATTTATCTGGCATAGCATTTCTAGAAGGAAGCATGAGGAACGCAAATTTGGTTTTGTAGTGTTGGCAGAGGGCAAGTGTTAAAAATGTAGTTTTACGTTTCTGATAGATTTCTAAAATACGAAAGTTTGCATTTGTATTTTGATATTTTCCATAAATATATTGGTTTCATTTGCTTCCAGTTTAGGAAGTTAAAACAATTTATGTAAATAGCTATCGAATAGATACTCAGAAGAATTCTCATCTTTTGCTTGCCCATCGTTGTCTAATGGACACTTGATCTGGAGAGAGAATCATTGACCATGGGTTTAGTGTGCTGACTTGTTGCTTTCCCAGATCCCTAAGTTTGAACCTTTTCAACTTTTTGGTAAGGTAGGAAAATAATTTAAAACAGGGGCAGTTTTGCGTTGTTTAGGTTGCTTCAGTGATACATTGGTACTTTCTTGTTTAGAGAGAAGCACTGAAGCAAAATAACTAAAGGTACCTCTTGTAACATTGAGTCCTGCTGACAATATGTCTTCGATTTTTTTTTTCCTACAAGCAGTGAACTGGCATCCTATAATTAAAAAATGCTTTTCATCCTGAGATTTTGGGAGAACTACCTGTTTTTATGCTTAAAAAGAAAGCACGGGGTTTTCTCTCTAAAACATGTTTAATATTTCCTTCTTGGTAGTGATGAAAATACAGCATTTATTACTTGTATTCCTTTATGAAAACTAGTTACCATTTATGAGGCTTGGTGCCCATTTGGTTTGTGAAAATACGGAAGTTTAGTTTTTTACTTCAATTTCCTTGGTCAGCACCGATTAACATAACCTTTAGCCATTAACTACAGAATCAGAAATGATAGAATTTTAACCATATAGCCTTTCTTAATTGAATGCTTTTTCCTTAATGTTGACCTTTTATGGTTTTTTTGATCTTCTTTTGGCATTTTATTTTATTTATTTTATTTTTTTTTTAAAGATTTTATTTATTTGACAGAGCACAAGCAGAGGGAGAGAGAGGGAGAAGCAGGTTCCCCGCTGAGCAAGGAGCCCGATGCGGGACTCCATCCCAGGACCCTGGGATCATGACCTGGGCCGAAGGCAGCCGCTTAACTGGCTGAGCCACCCAGACGTCCCTTCTTTTGGCATTTTAGATTAGTCTCATGATCAGATGGGAAACCATGTTCCAGTATGTTTTTACAGACCACACACACCATGGGGCTTATAAATTGGCTGAGCTTAATTGTCCTAAACTGTGAGCTGGGCAGCAGACTCAAAGCACGTGAAGAGATTTTCCCCTGCGGGTCGCTATGCACAAGAATGCCCGCTCTGGGTGGGGTGGGGGCCGAGGGGCTGTAGCTGTCGTTCATGCCGCGCTGCTCCTCTTTCCCTGGCATTCGTCACTTCGTTTGGGGGCAGACTCTGTAGCTTTGGGAGTGTTTGTACATGTCCAGCAGTGATTTCGGTACACTTGGAATCCTATCTTTCAAAAAGGAGGGTAGGAAAAAGCAGGAGCTTGAGGCTTCACAGGTTTCTTAGAAAGCAGTTCTTTTTTTTTTGAGTCTTCACTTAAAACCCAGAGCAAGGGTCGCATAACTCTGTAGGATGATTTCTCAAGCAAGTTGATTGTTTTTAAGAAAAAAGTAAAATTCTTTAGGGAGAAAGGAGTCTAAATTTCCGCCCTTTTAAAAGGTTTTGATTTTGGAAACCATTATATTTCTGTCCCTTTTCAGTAGCAAGAATGCTGTCTCCTGTGTGCATGTTTGCTACTTGTGTCTCTAAGGTGGAGGAGTTTGAGGAGTTTTCAAAAGCATGTACCTTTATGAAGAGATTTTTCCTCGGTAGAACATTTAGAAAACCTTAAATATTTAAAACGTTTAATTTCCATGACCAGTTAATGCAAAGAATGGTAAATATTAGCTGTATTATATTTTACAAAACTGAATTTTTATTTCTTTTGGCTATTAATACAGATACAGCCGAAAGAGGAGGACCAGAAACCATTAACTTCTTCCAACCCAGTGCTAGAACTTGAACTGGCAGAGGAAAAGTTACCCATGACACTTTCTAGGCAAGAGGTAAGTTTATGTAGGGTGTTTGATTGGGGGAGGGGTGGATCTTCAGAGCATTTGCATTTATCTCCAGTTCTTTCCAGTAAGCTCTGTGTCATTAGTGCCTATATAACATGTCTGACTGAACTAAAATAATGTGCAGCTAGCCAGTTTTTCTTTTTGAGGTTCTAAATTAATCTCCGTTCTTGTTTTTTTTTAAGATTTATTTATTTTAGAGATCACACATGCGTGAGCACAGGGGTAGGGACAGAGGTAAAGGGAGAGGGGAGAAGCAGATGCCCCGCTGAGCAGGGAGCCAGACATGGGGGCTCAACATGGGGCCTGAGAGGCTTGGGGGCTCAATCTCAGGACCCTGAGATCATGACCTGAGCCAAAGGCAGATGCTTAACTGAGCCACCCAGATGCCCCAGTCTCTGCTTTTCTTGATACTCTGAAACTTTTTAAAGAATATATTTTTCCAAACTTTAAAAATTAAACACATTGTTCTAAATATATATATATTAAGTAATGATACATAGATTATTTTAAACATACATTTTGTAACAATACATCTTTCTACGGCAAAACACATCTATATAATTTTTTATGATTATATAATTTCCCATAATTTAGAAACCTATTATTTTAAAAATCAAACAGTAATGGTCATTGAGATTGCTTCAGCATTTCCTGATTATAAATCAAACTAAGATGAACATCTTTATACAGATGTCATTGCATGATGCTAATGTATGATTCTTCCCTTTGGAAAATTTGCTAGAAGCATGGTTTCTGGAGTCTGTTGACTAAAGCCTGTGCATTTCTGTGACTTGAGTTACATATCACCACAGGGCTCTATAGAACTGTTGTCCCAGTTTGTACTCTTTAACTACAGTGCTCGTCTATACTCTGGTCAGTATCAACTACTACTTATCTGAAAAAGCCAAAAACAACAAAAATTTTAAGATAACTCATGTGACGTGAAGAATGCAAACTATACAGAGGGGTACCAAACAAAAAAGGAACAGAAGGAAAGGGAGGAAAGGACAGCTGACTCTAAATGCTGTCATGGGAAAATTAGATGAAGGAATTTGGAATACCTAGCCCAAAGAGAAGAATATTGGAGACCTAAAAAAAAACAAACAAAACAAAACCATTGATAGCAGCTGTAATTTTGAAAAAGAATTTCGTATTCTCTGTGGTTTCATAAAGTAGAACTAAGATAAGTGGGTAGAAGTTTGAGGGAGGGAGGTTTTAGTTTATTGTGAGAAATAAAACCTGTCTGTCCAAAACTGGGATGAAGCGATGTGGTCCCTGTCATTTGTCAGTCACGGACCTGGTAGAGGTGTGTTTGAGGTCATTTCTGCATTGATGGACGATAGCACCGGATGGCCTCTTAAACTCCTTTTGAATATCAAACTTTGGTTAACTCAGTGGAGCTCAACCAGTAGTATCTGTGCTACTATTTACATTTTCAGGTAAGTTCTTGATACTTAAAAAATATTTTGGATCAACCTTTATTTTTCTGTTATTTTTTTCTTGTTATGAAATGGAACATGTATACGAATAACATACTAAACATGCATGTGCAATATAATGAAGGATTATAAAACAAACACCAATTAACCATCACCCAAGTCAAGACACACTATTATCAGCCCCTCAAAGCCTGACCTGTGCCCTGCCCTGAGCATTACTCACTTCTCTTCTGGGAGATAAGTGTTTGGTTTTAATATAGTCTTGGAATGCTGACACCAGGCTATGGTCCGTGAGTTATCAACTGACTCTGGACTTATTTTCCTTCTATATAAAAAAAAAAGTATATAAAAGTTACCACTCCCTTCCATCTTAATGTTTTTCTTAGGTATTCTGTGATACAGATGGAGCCTTTGCTGAAACGGTCAGCCAAAGGACCTTAAACATGGTAGGGTTTTTTAAGGTGTGACAGTAACTCATTATATCCATTCACGGAAAATGAAAGAAAAAACAAACACAACTGACTTTTTCTATCTACATTTCAAAATAAGTATTTGGTCACCTAAAGGAGGAATTACTGTTACTCAAAACATTGGAATTACTTTTATTGTTATTCTTACAGGTTATCAGAAGATTGAGAGAAAGAGGAGAACCAATCAGACTGTTTGGAGAAACTGATTATGATGCTTTTCAGCGTTTAAGAAAAATAGAGATCCTCACACCAGAAGTTAACAAGGTAAGAAGTCAGAACAAAACTTGAGAAAGATTACTGTACCATATAAACAAGAATAGTATGGAGTTTGAATAATTGCATTATTACAGGCAAAGATGGAAAAATAAAGTTGCCAGATTATTGCTACTGAATGTAAACTTTAATTTTTTTAAAAAGCACCTATCTTAAGCCTGCAGTTCAGTGCATTTTGACAAATCCACTCCGAGCGTGTAACCACCACCCTTAGGAAGATACAGAAAGTTTTTATCACACAAAAACATGCCCAGTGCCCCTTCTTAGCCAGTCCTGTTCTTCTGCTCGATGCTTGCACAAACACCTTGTAAAGTTCTATCCCTGTAGATTAATTTTGCTTGTTCTGCATTTCATATAGATGGAGTCACGAGAGTATGTCTGGCTTCTTATGCTGAGCATAGTTTTAAAATTACTGTTTCTGCAGAAATCAGTAGTTTGTCCCTTTTCATTGCTGATGATAGTTATCTGAATATCCCACCATTTGTTTTCAGCTTCAGGCTGTTACGAATAATACTGCTATGAACATTCTTAAACAGGTCTGTTTTTGACCTGTGTTACTTCTCTTTGGTAAATATGTTCTATCTCTTAGTAAGTCTCTGAAGTAGAATTGCTGAATAATAAGAGTAAATGTGTGCTTTAGTTTTTAAGAAATGCCAAGTATTTCTAAATGTTATCAGTATTTGTTATTTTAAGTCTTTTAAATTGTAACCATTCTCTTGTCTGTGTAGTAGTAGTATTTCATTGCAATTTTATTTACAGCCTCCTGTTAAACTAAAGGTAATGAGTATCTTATCACATCTTAAGTATCTTATAGCCCATATATTTCTCTGGTTAGTGCGTGTTAAAATCTTTTGTTCATGTTTTAATTGGGTTATTTGCCCTTTTATTTTTGAATTGTAGTTCTTTGTATGTTCTGAATACAAGTCCTTTGTCAGATGTACTGATACATGGTTTGTGACTATTTGCTGCTAGTCTTTGGCTTACCTGCTCTTTTCATGGTGTCTTTTGATGGGCAGCAGTTCTGCATTTTGATGAAGTCCACTTTTTTATGGTTATTGCTTTTGGTGTTTTTCTTAAATATTTGCCTATCCCAAGGTTTTGAAGAGATGCTCTTTATTTTCTCTAAAAGCTTAACAGTTACAGCTTTTAGGGCTTTTTTCTTGTTTTATAGCTCAGAACATGGTCTGTCTTGGTGAATATTCCATAGGCTCCTGAAAAAAAATGTCTTTTATACACTGGGTAAATGTCATTTACAGTAGTGTTGTTCAGATCTTCTGTGGCCTAAATAACTTACCCATTTGCTCTCTCAGTTACTGAGAGGTCTGGTGATCTGTGGCTGTGTAACAAACCACCCCAAAACTGAAGAGTTCAAACAATTTATAAAATCTTTTTCAGGGGCGCCTGGGTGGCTCAGTCATTAAGTGTCTGCCTTCAGCTCAGGTCATGATCTCGGGGTCCTGGGATTGAGCCCCACATCGGGCTCCCTATTCCGCGGGGGGCCTGCTTCTCCCTCTCCCACTCCCCCTGCTTGTGTTCCCTCTCTTGCTGTCTCTCTCTCTAATAAATAAATAAAATCTTAAAAAAAAAAAATCTTTTTCAGTCCTCTATGTCTATAACAAACCACCCTGAAGCTTAGTAACTTAATTTATTATTATCTTTTACGGTTCTGTGGTTTGATTGGGGGTAAACTGGACAGTTTTTTTGCTTGGAGTCTCGCATGTGATTGCAGTTAGATGTGGACTGTGGCCAAGGTCATCAAAGGCTCCCTTGGACTGGCCTTCCAACTGCATAATATCTTAGAGGTTCATCTGTGTGATAGTGTAGGTCAGAATTTCCTTCCTTCCTAAGGCTGAATAGTTCTCTCTTATATGTATGGAGAGAATTTGTTTATCCATTCAGCTTCGATGGGCATTTGAGTTGTTGCTACCTTACAGCTATTGTGAATAATGCTGCTTTGAACATAGGTTTACAAATACCTGTTTGAGTCCCTGCTTTCACTTCTTTTGTGTACACCCCAGATGTAGACTTGGTGGATCATGAAGTCAACTTCTTTTAAGGATAAATGAATAAGAATATTCTTCCATAGTAATGTTCACAGCAGTTTTACAAAAAATTTTCAGTCCTGTTTAAAACCTTAAATTCTTAGAGTTAGTGGTTTTTGTAATGCTTCATTTTTACCAACATTAATTTCTTTTCTGTATCCTGAGTTCCTTTCTTAACCAAAGATAGTATTAAAATACTAATGTGAACTATTAGTATGTGATTTAATTTTTCTACTAATCATGTTTCATTCCTTGAATTTTCTAGTTATTAATATTAATTTATTACAACCTGCTGTATATTAATCTTGCTCAAGCTTGTCCCAGATACTAAAAAGAGTTTCTCGTTTGTAAAATTTTTTTTTTTTTTAAGATTTTATTTATTTGACAGAGACACAGTGAGAGAAGGAACACAAGCAGGGGGAGTGGGAGAGGGAGGAGAAGCAGGCTTACCGCCGAGCAGGGAGCCCCATGTGGGGCTCGATCCTACGACCCTGGGATCAGGATCTGAGCTGAAGACAGACGCTTAATGACTGAGCCACCCAGGCACCCTCTCATTTGTAAATTTTTTCAAAAATGAGGTATAACTGACATATTAGTTTCAGATGTACACAACTTAGTGATTTAATATTTATGTATGTTGTGAAATGATCCCCACAATAAGTATAGTTAATACCTGTCCCCATACATAGTTACACATTTTTTTTTTCTTGTGGTGAGGACTTTTAAGATCTATTCTTACCACCTTTTAAGTAGGCATTCACTGTGGTCACCATGCTGTGCATTACATCCCTGTGACTTATTTTATAATTGGAGCTATTTGAAGATGATAACATAAGTGTAAATGCGTTCTAAAGCTCTCCGTATTTACTCCTCCCAGCCACATCTTAGGTTTTTGATGTCACATTTTACATGTTTTTCTTGTGCATCCTTTAACTAAATGATTGTAGTTATTTTTACTACCTTTGTCTTTATAAGTGATTAATCTGCTACCTTTACTGTATATGTACCTATTCCAGTGAGATTTATACTTTCATATGTTGTAGTATTACTAATTAATCCTTTGAGCTTGAAGAAGGCCCCTTAACATTCCTTTTGAGGCTGGTTTAGTGGCGATGAACTCACTTAGTTTTGCTTGTCTGGGAGACTATTTCTCTTCCAATTCTGAATGATGACTTTGTGAGGTAGAGTATTCTTGTTTTGAAGTTTTTTTTTTTGCAGCAGTTTGAATATATTATGCTCTACCCCCTTTGTCCTGCAGAATTTCTGCTGAAAAATCTGCTAATAGTCTTATGTACACAACAAATGGTTTTTATTTTGCTGCTTTTAATAGTCTCTCCTTTACCTTTTGATAGTTTAATTAGAATGTGTCTTAGTGTGAGTACGTGTAAGTTTTTGAGGTGATTGCCATACATTTTCCACAGCAGCTGCACCATTTTACATTTCCAGCGATGAAAGGTTCCATTTCTCCACATCCTAGCCAACACTTACTACTACTACTATCTTTGATCATAGCCATCCTGATGGATTTGAAGTGGTATCTTATTGTGTGTATTTTTTTTAAGGTTTTATTTATTTGAAAGCACGAGAGAGAGAGCGTGCACAAGCAGCGGGAAGGGGCAGAGGGAGAGGGAAAAGCAGACTTCCCGCTAAGCAGGGAGCCCGACGTGGAGCTCAGTCATGACCTGAGTCAAAGGCAGATGCTTAACTTACTGAGCCACCCAGGCGCCCCCTTACTGTAGTTTTGATTTACGTTTCCCTAATGACTAGTGATGTTAAGCATCTTTTTGTTTGCTTATTGGCCTTTTATGTGTGGTCTTCTATTCAAGACCTTTGCCCATTTTTAGTTGAGTGGTTTTTTTATTGTTGTTACATGTAGCAGTTCTTTATATATTCTGGATATCAGTCATTATCAGATTAGTGACTTGCAAATATTTCTCCCATTGCACAGGTTATCTTTTCATTCTATTGATAGTATCTTTGCAGAAAAGTTTTTAATTTTGATGAAGCCCAATTTTGTTCTTTTGTATTTTGGGTTTTTTTTGCCTGTGCCTTTGGTGTTGTATCCAAGAAATGATTGCCAAATCCAGTATCATGAAGCTTTTCCCATGGGTTGTCTTCTGGGAGTTTTCTAGTTTTAGCTATTAAATGTACATCTTTGATTCATTTTGAGTTAGTTTTTGTATGTGGTGTAAGGTATGGGTCCAGCTTTAAGGCCTCTTCTTTTATCAAATGGTCACAAACTGGATGTGAATAGATGGTGGAATTTGCTGGTTTATCAGAAACCTAGTGAAGGCCTAGGATATAGATGAGAAACTAGTTTCATATTGTTGACATTGCTGAATGGTAGGGGATTCAGAGTAGTTACAGTGAGGTTAGACGTTTTAAATAAACTGGGAAAATGGGTTGAAGGCTCTAGTGGAGACCTGGTCACTTGCGCTAGACCTCATTAGAAAATTTCAGCATTTATGAATATTCTCATTTGGATTTGTCAACACATATGTTTGATTTTTCTGACCAGAGTAGCTATTGTGCATACATTCTTTAAAATTTAAATATGTTCATTATAATTAACTTTGGACAATGATGATAGCTGCGTAATAAATTGAAATCTTGGAGTCTCTAGTTTTACTAAGCTCTTAACTCTTGTGGAGGAAAAAAAATGAATTATACTTACTAGTAGTGAAAAATCAGAAGGGAAACATCAGTGAAATTCCACAATGTGTGTATTTTTTCACCTTTCTCAGGGATTGAGGAATGATCTGAAAGCAGCTTTGGATAAGATCGACCAGCAGTACCTCAATGAGCTTGTGGGTGGTCAGGAACCTGGAGAGGAAGACACACAGAATGATTTGAAAGTTCATGAGGAAAACACCACAATTGAAGAGTTAGAGGTAATCTCTACACCCACCTGATCTCATTACCCCATCATATCCCTTCATTCTCTGGGGCAGATCTTGAGTTCATCAGATTGTTCAGTTCAGAGCACACTACATGGTCTGTGGTCATTACAAAGGCCCCCTTTTTTTTTTTTAATTTCGTGCTTTTATTTATTCACTCCCTTTTTTTTTTTTTT